CGAGCCGAGGCGCCGGGTGGCGAGCGCAAGGGCGGAGTCCCAGACACTGCATCCAGGTCCCAGCGCGCGAAGTCCCCGGTCTGGTAGGAAGGCTCTGCGCAGCCCCTTCAACACTGGCGCCTCCCGGGAGCCATGTCTCCCTCCCCAGCGTGTAACCACAACAAATACAAAGCTCCAAACCCCCAACCAGAGCCTACTCTGCTGATGCCCACTCAACCTCTGCCTATCTTGATTTTGCCTTCAGTTTAATAAAACCTGGACTTTGCTTGCCTGGACCGAACCGTGTGGTTCTGGGGCTCTGATGCGCCCCAAAGAAGGGAATGGGCCCTATCCTAAGGTTGGTACCACCCTTTTGGCAGCTTTTTGGGGAGGATCTAATGGAAAATTGCTTCTTTTTCCCTAAGCCCACCCAGCCCCCTGCCCTTTCTCCACCCAGAGACACCCTTCAAGCACCTATGACAAGCTTAAAGTAATAGTAATTAGCACTTTAGAGTTCTTTAGTGATAGCTGGCCTTCAAGGCAACACTGTGAAGTAGGTGGAGTTACCCCGGCCCCATTTTACCAATGAGTAAACTGAGGCTCAGCTTAACTGGGCCAACTCTAGAGAGGGCTTCCCTCACCCTGTCCTCCTCTCCCAGGCTCTTCCTACTATGAGCGCTCACGGCTTGCAGTCCTCCATTTGTACGTTTACTTCTTTACTATCTGTCCTTGGGCTCTATGAAGGCAGGTACAGTGCTCAGCGCCCACACTTGTGGAATGCCTAGACGTGGTTGGGAGACAATAAGCAGATATGGAACAATCAAAACCCCGCCTGTCCTGGGCCACCCACCTACAAGTCCATCCCCTGGAGGGCCAGGCAGCTGGCGGGCCTGCGGGAGTCAGGAAGCTGCAAGAAGCCATCAATGCAGGGTCATTGTCTTGTGCCCTTCTGAATCTTTCATTTGGAGGCGGACAGTGAAGGAAGGGGGCTGAGGTGGCCCATCTTGCAGCAGAGGGCAACCCCTAAAAATAGTTTAGAGCACCTGGGTTCCCAGGCAAGAGGCTGAGCAGGAGCCCAGTGCCCCTTAAGCCAGTTAGAGCACCTGGGTTCCGAGGCAAGAGGCTGAGCAGGAACCCAGTGCCCCTTCGTTGCCCATCTCCACATTCCCCTTCTCAGCTTCCCATGTTTTCTTTGCTCTGTTAAAAATAAATGAAGACACAGAATCGGGGGAAATATTTGCAAATCATGTATCTAATAAGGGTCTAGTGTCCACAGTATATAAAGAACTCTTACAATTCAAAAGTAACAAGGCAAATAAGCCAATTTAAAAACAGGCAAGGTGTCTAAATAGATATTTCTCCAAAGACAATCTACAAGTGGCCAATAAGCACATGAAAAGATGCTCTCAACCTCACTAATCTTTAGGGAACTGTAAATCAAGACCGCAATACAACCTCACACTCACAAGGAAGGCTATAATAAAAAAGATGGACAAAAGTACCTATACATAGAGGGCTCTGGAAAGAGAAGAACACTAGGCTGCACTGCTCAAAGACCACAGCCACATCTGGCATCTGTCATAGTTAGGGCAGGGGTAGGGAGCTGGGAGAGGATAGGGTAGAAACGACCCGGTTGAGGGCAGAGGCAGCAGAAAACTCCCACCCCTGTCTGAAGTGCTCTCTAAAAATAGACTGCAATAAATGGAGCCAAAAGAATTCCCCCAGCCCAGCTGTTGGAGCACTCTGGACACAGGCTTTGATAGCCTCACCATCCGGATTGTCCAAGAATTTCAGGCACTTCTCCAGGCCCAGGGCCCTGCCGCCCAGCAGGATGGTCTTGGGGACATTGTCTCGGCTGGGATTTAGAAGGGGATTGAATTTCCCTGTTAGGATTTGGAATACCAGATGATGGACTCTCTGGAAACCAAATGCATCTTCATTCTCTTGTTTTATCTTTCTGCAAAGTGTGCCTCTTGCTCCTGCTCTGCTAACTGCCTTGCAGATTAATAATTTAGGGAACTGTGAGCAGAAGCAAGAAAAGTTCCAGCCTAGAGAGGCAGAGAAGGCCAATTTTTCTGCAGAAATGACCAGACTGGTCAGAATCCTTGCATGTACCATTAGGAAAAATTGCTTAGCTTTCTGAGTCTCTGTTTCTGCAACTCTAAAGAGTGGCTCAGCGGCCACCTCTCCCCAGCTAATTCACCTTGCTGTTTAATTTAATTTAGCAAGCATTAATTAGTACTTACTCTGAGGCCTCAGTGGGGAAACACTGCTGTGACAAGTATTCCTCAGTATGGTGTCATGACAGTGGAGGAAAGAGCCTGTAATTCTGCCCCAGGAGAGGCCCTAATGGGGGGACATTTTGGGTTGGACCTTGAGGGATGAATAGGGTCCCACGTATGGGGTCAAAGGATGCAAAAAGTCATGGAAATGTTTAGTTCCACTGTATCAACCCAGGTTTTAGTCCTGAGCTGCTTGCCTTGGCCCATTTCACATGCTACAACCCGACTTTATCTCTATGCTACCCGGCTTCTGACAGCCTCCAGTCTTTCCACAGCCTCCCTGCTTTCCTCCAGCTGGACGTGTGGCACTCTCCCAAAGCCCAGCCTTTGCAGCTCCTCTCTCCAAGTTGTCAGGATCAAGCCCAGCCTCTCTGCACAGCCAGCCTCGTGGCCTGTGTAGTCTGGTTCATCTCTCCAGCCCTTACCTCTCCTCCTGCCCACTCTATGCCTGCCACACCTCCAGCAATACTAAGCTTCTTTCAGTTCCCCACACTCCCCACTGTGCCTGGCTCAGAGCTAGGACCTTGGTTTTCAGCTTCCTATGTCACTGCTCCCAGAAAGACACCCATGACCAGCCCCTAGTCCAAGTCAGAAACTCCTCTTACATGGCATCAGGTTACACCGCACCTGCTCGCTTATACCAGTGAGCTGTATTCCAACTGCTAAGGCTGGTTCTATGTCCTTCCCTGCAGCAGCCCCTGTGCCGACAGTGGAGCCTGGTGCACAGAAGGTCTTCAACAGCTGAATACACCAAAGGTTGGTAAACTGTGGCCTGAGAGCCAAGTCCAGCCTGCTGCCTGTTTTTTAAAAATAAAGGTTTATTGGAACAGAGCCACGCTCATCCACTTATGTATTGTCAATGGCTTCTTCGGGACTATGATGATGAAGTTAAACAGTTACAACAGAGACACATGACCTGCAAAACATACAATATTATGCAGCCCTTCTCTGAAATAAATGAAGCTCTCCTGAGGGAGTCTTACATTGGCTCCAACTACCCTGGCAAACCCCCTGCGTGTTCAGCCAGACACCCCGTGCAAGAGCAGAATCCAAACATCATGGGGGAAGACAGTGACTGAAATGATAGGGCTGGGCCAGATGATCCTCAGATGTGATGGCCACAAGATGGGGTGCACTGTTGAGAATGAATCCTACAGCGCCACTTGCCCATGTGCACATAGACACATAGAGGCATGCCCAAGGATATTAATTATTTGAAAAAGCAGAACTCAGGGGAGGTAACATGCAATGCCTCTCAATGCGGACTGGTTAAGTAAATTGTATTACACCCATCAATGGAGTCCCATGTTAAAAAGATGGCAGCAGCATCTTGCATACTTACAGGAAAAGATCTGAGACACAATACTGTGATAGAAAGTCCAGAAAAACGTGAAGTGTACTTATAAAAGAACACTAGTATGCTTATATAAGATTGTATAATCATAGATTACTTCTTAAAAGAGACCCAAGAGACAGGTACCAGTGCTTGCCTCTGGGAAGGGAAACTGAGAGGTTCCAGAAATTCACGGAGAAGGCCTCTGCCCACTAGGCTTCAGATCTAGGTGGGACAGGGGTGGGGAGGAGAATGGAGAACTTTTCACTCTATGAACACTTAAAGTTTTCAAAATTTTAGGCCGGGCATGGTGGCTCGCACCTGTAATCCCAACACTTTGGGAGGCTGAGGTAGGTGGATCACCTGAGGTCAGGAGTTTAAGACTAGCCTGGCCAACACGGTGAAACCCTGTCTCTACAAAAATATAAAAATTAGCCAGGCATGGTGGCAGGTGCCTGTAGTCCCAGCTACTCGGGAGGCTGAGGCAGGAGAATTGCTTGAACCCGGGAGGCGGAGGTCGCAGTGAGCCGAGATTGTGCCATTGCACTCCAGCCTAGGAGACAGAGCAACACTCTGTAACCTCCCCCGCCAAAAAAGAATTTTTAAACAAGTGCTTGTTACTTTAAAAAAAGCCAGTTATGGGCCAGGTGTGGTGGCTCACCCAAAGTCAGGAGTTCAAGACCAGCCTGGCCAACATGGTGAAACCCCGTCTCTACTAAAAATACAAAAATTAGCCAGGCATGGTGGTGGGTGCCTGTAATCCTAGCTACTCGGGAGGCTGAGGCAAGAGAATCGCTTGAACACAGGAGGCAGAGGTCGCAGTGAACCGAGATCATGCCACTGCACTCCAGTCTTGGCAACAGGGTGAGACTCCATCTCAAAAAAAAAAAAACAA